TGCGCAAATGTAATACGTTAATTTCCTCATGTATAACAGATTTAATATTTTTACTTCAAAATCTTTGTATTTATATATATATTTTATAAGGAGAAAGATGCGTCCTCGAGCTGTGACTAATCTTGATTTACTCGTATATCAATATGGGAACATTGCAATCCTCGCGAATCATATCTTTTAGATAAATTGACATTAAAAGAATTTAAAGCAGTTCAATTTATACACACGCTATACGTCTCGCTATTATTTTTTAAATGCAATATACACATGCGATGTGTATTAAATTTTAAGCTACGTCGTCAGTCCTTCGACTTAGGTTCTTGAACATAATAGCGGTCCAAGAAAACGCAATATGTGCCAATAGCGACAAGTCCGTTAGATAAGCAAGTAATTGGATAAGCGAGGCGCGATCTCGCAGCCAAGGAGGTCTTACCTTAAAAAGCAAAGCAAAATAAAAGAGATATATGTACACACTTATTTTTTGTAATCGATTCTAACTGATAAATGGGCTGTTTAACGAGAGTCCATGTGATTATATAATATAATAAGCTTGTACCATATATATCATATAATATACATCTATATATATTATATATATACCGCCACGAGTTTACAATTTCTAGTCAGAAGTCACTATATTTTGTGTGCGTGCGTAGCTTGTGCGTTATATCATATAGCTTTAATAAGCTCTAGTCTCTGAATGATCTTCTCACCGTAATGTGCAATCATGTATTCGCGCGGTATCAGTGACACTGTAAGATACCGTATCCAATGTGAAAGAATGTCTATCCAAAATAAAGACACTAAATATTTATTCACATATAACTAAGATAATCTTTGTGATATTAAAAGTGAATTCCTTTGAAACTACAATATCATGCGAAATAAATTTAATTAAAAGATGGTTTCTAATGGCGAATTCGATTGGAAGAACTAGTGCGCACTGGTGCATATTAAAGTCGTTGTACACTAATTTAATTTAAGTATAAAAATGAAATGCAAATATTTCGAATTATTTTATTCGAATTTATTTATAAACATATCTTTACGTTATTTCGTGTACGACGGCTTTAATGTGCACCAGTGCGCACTGAGTGCGTCCAATCGAATTCGCTATAAGTAATTTTAAAAATGAGGTGGACATCGCTATTTTTACGATACTTTAAAGATTAACTGATGGAAATTCTCAAATTTACTATTCAAATGGAAATCAATTTTCAACGTAAGACATTACAAGAGAATAGTGATATTTTTACGGAATAATAATAAAATAAGTCAACTGTATTTTCTTATGAATTTATGTGATGAAATTATAAAGTTACTAATCTTTCAAAGAAAGAGATAGCTTTTAGATTGTTGAACTTTTTATAATTCTTTATGTTGATACGTTAAAGCGAATTTCTGTCTATTCCGCATTCGGCATTTTTTCAATGGTAGATGCTCGTATATTGGCTAGTAATAAGTAGTAAATATACAATTACAGAAGTAGTATAGGTTCAACATTCTAAAATTATGGAAATTATCGACAATCAGAAATTTGTTCGCAAGAGAAACAAATAAGTATCATTCAATTTTTTTAGTTTTCAAATTCTTTTTGTTCCCCCGAAAAAAATTCGTAATGTGCATCAAACGACGTTTATACTCAGTCGCCCAATTTTCCAGAACTATCCATTTTTCTCGCGATATTTCAACGAATCAATTACGAGTAACACGATGTGACAATGTATCAGTGTCATGATAATAAGGCGATACTTGTCGCAAAACGACGATAAGAGATGGCAGGTGGAACCGGACGAGCGAGAAATCAATATAAACGGGATTCGTGAGGTCGTGGGGCGTGAGGCGGGTGACGGGGGTTGCACGACGGAGGGTGGTAAGGGCATCCTCCTGTTGAGACAGGCGGCCGCCGAAAGCTGATTGCATCGCATTTTACCGGCCACGCTGGCGAAAACGACGGACAATGTCGTAGTTTCGGTGGCAGCCGGAAGTACCCAGTGAAGTCCGTCTTGCCTTCTTTCCCCTGCCTTCCGCCTCCTCTCTGTTCGGCCTCCACCCTTCGGTTCCTGCCCTTTTCGCGATCGCTGCCCCCGACTCGTGTGCGGGCGCGCGTATTCCACCCTCAATGGTGAATCAATAATTAAGGTGACAGTGCAGTGGTTGCGCGATCGTGTACCGGGTCAAGATGTCGGTGAAGGTGAGTCTTCGTACGTTCGGCGAATACGATGCGAGCATGACAGTTCCGGTTCCCTGATGTGGGATTCCCGGTTGACTGGTTAACGAAATAGCTTCAGCTAAGCTGAGGCCATTGGCGAAATGGTCTCCCTACGCTCTGTTGGGAGTGCTGTTGTTATGTAACGCAATTTCGAATATTGATATCTTATCGCGTATAGGGAGAAAAAAAAAGAGAAAAAGAAAAAGAGAAGAGAGAAAAAGATTACGACGCTTATATCGTCTTCTTACATGAGAATATCATCAATAAGCATTAATGATCGTAGGTCATGGCTTATCAGTCATGCATAAAAAACGGTATTTATCTTGGCTTGTATGCGTTTTTATAATGGGTAAATGTGATTAATCTAGCGCGATTACTAGCAAGATGTTGCGATATATCTTGGTCTGCTGTTTCGCGCCTAAACACATGCAACACTCAAGTAGACATGATTTTAACGTTACGTTGCATGCGGAACGCGGTGATTTAACTCTCCCAGCGTTACTGTTTTAAAAAATCCGAAATAAGATCCGTGTGATTGGAAATGATCGTCAAGGCAATTAATATGAAATGTTTATGTATTTTTTGAAGCATATCTTTTATGGCGAAAAAGTATTGCTCTTTATAATCTTTGGAGTGGAATTTCTCTCTAAAGAGTGAAAATTGAGCCAGTCTTTAAAAAGAATAGTTCAATTTTTAATCCTTAAGAGATTTCACTTTTCAAAGTGAAATTAATTATACCATAAAAGTTTTAGAGAGCAGATTAACGTTATCTTGAAGCACGATCGATTTTTCTTCGTACGATATTCTAATTTATTAAAGCATCGTCCTCTTTTTGTTATCACGTGTTTACACGACGACGTATTTCTGTAGCCCCAGGTTGCTTTAATTTTGTTTGACATTGTGCATTAAAGCTAGTTGCAATTTGTTGATCTTATTACAGTATATATAATGTCTGCGCGGAGTTGACTGTCGCATTAAGTCGCGAAATATTTTAATGGCAATAACAGCGTCACAAGTGTCCGCTTCCTGCCAGAACGAGGCCCTTCGTCGAAGGCGAAGATAATCCGGGGGTGCTTGCGCACTCAGACTTGCGTGCGCGCGTCGCGTGTATATTCGGAACGCGCGTGCTTTTCGGCGCGCACTTACGCACGCCCTCGTCAGTGCATTGCGTCACTGCGTGCAAGTTGTAGTCGGTAATCGCGTAACCACCGGCACTAGTATTGAAATGCATCGCTTGTTCCACCCTTTCTTGCGCGGAGTTCCGAAAAAGCGAATCGAAATAAACGCAAATTCAAAGTGCTCGCGAAAGAATCGTTTTTTGACTTAAAGTTTTTAAAAGTGACGCGTGACCTGAAACTCATTCTTCCTTTAACATTTGTTTTAAAGCTAAAAAATTTGTCGATCATTTTCTTAAAAATAAATTAATTATAACTAGAAACGTCCCGATACTTGAAAACTGGTGTGATAATTTCCAACTATATTTTTATACGTTGTGTGCGCACGTATATTAAAGGTTCTCTAGCGTTATTTTTCACTTCTAGAACTTGTCGAAGACATGAACTATGAAGATGTTGATCTTCGGTGAAAATTTGAGTGCAATCTTTTTTCGCTTTTTACAATTTCTTAACATTTAACTTTGAATATTTAATTAATACAAAAAATTCGAAGTTTAACGCAGATAATCATATTTTTAGACTTTTAAAATTTATCTAGTTGGAATGTAATTAATATTTTTTAATTGCTTGTAACTAAACAAATTACTATTATTGTATTTATTTTAATAAGAAATTATCTTCCTTATATTAAAATTCTTTCTTTTTCTGTCTCTCTGTCTAAATTATTTTATGGATTTATAGATAAAGAAAAGATGAACTCTCTATGTCTATGTGAACCAGAAGATTGATAACGTCTTTACGTAGTATGATGGTAAATTGCTTGCAGACTTACAAATAATAACATAATCAGTTTTCGAATATATTAGAGCGTCCTGTGTTTTATAAGGGATTTAAAAACTGCAAAAATGTTAATATCATGCATTTTCTAATAAAAATCCAAATACAATAAGCTTGTGATTTATGACATTGTAACTTACACACTTATAATAATAAATATAAAAATAAATTTCACATAAATTAAGCAGTCGTTATTTAAATTCAAAAATTCGTGTTTTCTTAACATCTCTTTTGTAAATTCAGCTAGCATATCTCTGATCGAGATCATTTGCATACAAAAAGCCAAATATTTGCCAGACATTGCCTCTTTTGTAGAGAGTAAAAAAGAGAGATAAGACTAGCGTGATGCTAGCGATCGAAGCACATGCAAAATGTTTGTAAATCTGTCATCTGCTCTCGCTCACGATGACGTAAATACTATCAGCGAATCTCATCTTGAACAAAGGCTGTAGGTCAATATATACGCATACTGCTTATTTGAGACAAAATTGAAGCTGGCATTCACTCGTTTCTCGTTCGAATATAGTTATCTATTCGCCAAGTCATGTATCACAACGGCCAATACGATTCTCTGCGTTCTCCACTGAATGTCGAGTAATTTGAATTCGTGCGAATTACAATCGATAAGTTTAACAGTGCGAGAGCTCTCTTGACGTTAAATGATAAACGACCTGTGTCAAATAAAATAAGCTCGTCCCGATATCATTCGAACGCGCCTTTAGAGCAGTCCACATTCTCGCTTATAGAGTCGAGAGGACGAGTTGTATTTTTAGTACGATCTAAAATCGTAGCGTTGCTGCGAAGTTCGCGAGTGAATTTTGCACCTTTGGTAAAGCAACCGCAGAGATCATAGTGTAAATTTCACCCATTGAAAATCGTCAAAAAGTGATCATTTTATTTTACATTACTAAACATTATCCGTAACTCGTAACATCGATCTTCAAGTTAATTTAGCTTCTTAATGTTTAAAAAAAATCTGATTTCGCCTAAGACTCGAGAAACAAGTTAATTGCGAAGTAAAGAATGAAAATAGACGAGGATTGTGTTGAAACTTGTGAGATAATCAGTATTATATTTTACGGCCAAATTCAGGATTAAATTAGAGAACGGTAGTCTACTATTACAGAATATTTATTCGCGATGTAACTGACATTCCATGGATTTCATTTCCGTGATCGACAGTGTAGCGAATGAATATCGTTTTACATGTGAATGCTGATATTGCGTTGCAACGTTTGAATTGAGACCATTGCGTTTATTGTACTTCCACTCGACAAACTGTGCCACAAAAACAAACATCTGCTATACAGATGAGGATCAGTGAAATACAAATATAAAAATATAAAGCCGTGTTCTCCACCAAAATTTTTTGCGGTGAGTGCTACTGTGATCGACACCTTCTCAGTTCATTTTATTAAAAAAAAAACAAGAAAAGGAATAAAATATTTTGAAATGTGCTTGAACTAAAATTTTGAATTCGTGAATTTCAAAATAAAGCTTTGTACATTTTTTTATTGTCTTTCTAATAATAGACTTTTTGATTGATTAAATTAAAATTTAATAAATAAATTTCTTTTTTCTTTAATGAAAGATGCAACGATAATGATTAGAACAATATTTTTTTATTAAATCTCTCCCTCTTTATCTTTCTTTTATATATATTACATCAGAAATTAAAAATAATTACTAAAATTTCTTTTTGTGCTTCAATCAAATATATAATATTAGACTTTTTTAAAAATCAGAATTCAAACTTGATATATATTAAGGAATTTAATATCAAAGATGAAAAAAAAAATGGTAAAAAGTAATGGCTTTCCACGAGGTGCACTTCAGGAAAAATGTTTTTATAAAAACAAATCTGCTATTAAAATTTGTTCAGAAATTCTAGAAGTTTTATAATAGATAGTATATTAATGTTTTAAGCTATATATATATTATTTTGTGTTGCATAAAAGAAGTTGCGTTATACATAATGATATGCTAATAAATAAATATTTGTTATGTAAATATTACCAATAATTTTGAAGATAAGAAATGACGTACATCTCATTAAAAAAGCAATTTAAGTATAATGTTAGCGATGTCTGAAGTAATATGAGAATGTAAATAAGATGATGCGCGATAAAATGCTTTACAATCAATTAATAAAAATCATATTTAAAAATAAAAACAGAAAGTATAAAATTTCTTTTATTAATAATTGGAATCATATATGTTTAAAAAAATATTATAATTATTTAAAGAACTAGAATCATTTCTAATCATTGAAAGTACGTACGTGGTTTCATTTAATTAAATGGTTACGTTATCAAGCACAATTTTAAAACAAAGTCGTAGATTGTGAATGCGTCGTGCATTCTATTTCTATTGTGTTTTGTTCTAATTTAAAATTTATTCGTAATTTGTAAATCTTTGATGATAAATATCTATATGTATAATATTTATAATATAAGTTTAATAATACTTGTTGAAGTTTTCTCCTTATCAAAAGAAAAATATTTGTCACATATCATAATTATTATGATATGGCTTTCTTTGTACATTAATAAATTTGTAATATCTGTTTTTTTTTAAATGTGAATACGGAAGGAATAAATCAATTTATATTTCTGTTATGAGTAACATTGCCGATATTTATTATTAAGCTTCGAAAAGCTCTTAAATTATAACGTCGTTGTTAATCAACTAATGAGAAAGGCAAAGTTATACACGGTATAACTTTGCCTTTCTCATTAGTTAATTAACAACGACATTGCATGTCCATTTACGACTAACTAATTGTCTTATCTTAAACAAACACGTGAGGTGTACTTCGCTACTTACTTTATCTTTGTTTGCGAAAATCGCTGTGGCAAAGAAAATATTGAACTTTTTCACCCATTGCAGTTTTGTCGCGTTGTCGATATTTACTTTTTCATGTAATCCCGGTAAAACCGTGTTAGATCGTTTCGACGTGAAAATCGAGAAGATCAAACGCATTATTTGTTATTATAAGTCTACGCATGCGGCGTATATGTGCGGCGTGTTCATTCGGTACAACTCGTACACTCAGAGAAAGGTTTTTCAATTCAAATACAAAAATTTATTTGATTTAAAGAAATTATGTTCAAATTAAAGAAATGACGTTCAATCAAAGAAATTTTTTCTTTAACCGTATAGTAAAGAAATTAACATTTCTTTAAATCGAAGGAACCTTTCTCTGAGTATACATTCGGTTTAAATGTTACTTTAGTTTCGTTAATCTGACATTAAAATTTCTTCGCAGAAAATTTATTTTTACATGATTTTTATTCAGATGACGAGGTATAAACAGGCTGAATTCGAGGACGAAGACAGCAGTAGCATCGGCTCCGTCGCCCTAAATAGCGAAGGTATCAGTACGTCCGCTACGCATATAAGATATCATACGGTGAGCGTTTCCCGATATTAAGGTAATCTTTTCAAATAAATTAAATTGCATAGCCTTGAAAGTAAGAATATGTTTAACTTTCTAGCTCATGATACAATCAAAAATATATTTATGTTCAGTAATAATAATATAAATATGATGCTCAAAGAAGAAATAGAATGCTCATTATTAGAACATATTTTTATATTCCTTAATATAATAATTTTATATCAATAATGTAATTTAGAGAGTAACAGCTTTGAGATGCTGATCGATATAATTTTATTATCATAGGGTACAACAATGTGGAAGACGAGAAGTATTTTGGAGAGATGTCTTCTTATAATTTGCACTGTTTTGCTGCTAACAATCACGATACTTGCCTTTGTGATCAGCAGCCAAAATGGTTGGGACAAAGACCAGATTCTTCACGTCACCTCTCACGGAGAAAGTAAAAAAATTATTATGATTACTTCATTGCAGCAATTAAGATCTCGATTGCGGCAATAATTTAAATTAAATATCGCATGTTTGACGTTACTTATTTTTCGATTATAATTTATATCTATGAGGTATAACATACACGAAGATAATTCATTCATTAAAGTTAACTCTAAACAACATTGATGCAATAGACTTCAATTCGTTATATCAGCAGTTTTTTTTACTTTGAATATGTGTCTTATTCTGATCGTAGTTTTATTTATAGTGTAATCAAAGAACACAATTATCACGACTACTAACAATAATTAATTCTAATCAATGCTAATCAATGTGCATTCAGTTCTTGCTTTTGAATTGTTGTAGATGACACGCTTTGCCTCACGAAACAATGTGTAACGGCAGCGGCTTTCTTAATTAATAGTATAGATTATAACGTCGATCCATGTGACGATTTCTATGAATACGCATGTGGTGGTTGGAGAAAGAAAAATCCCATTCCAGTTGGGAAGAACATTTGGAGCACGTTCGGCAAATTGGAGCAGGATAATCAAATGGTTATCAAGAATGTTCTCGGTAATCAGCGTAAAGGCGCATAATTCACAAGCTTAATGAATCTTTATGTATCTATCGATGAAGTTGTCCTTTCATTTTCCGCACAGAGAAACCGCCTAGTGAGATGAAATCAAAAGCCGAGAAGAAGGCCAAGTATTATTACCTGTCCTGTATGGATGCGAATGAGACGATTGAGGCGCTCGGGGCGAAACCGATGTTGGAACTGTTGGAAAATATCGGCGGCTGGAATGTTTCTGGCAAATTCAACATTAGCGCGTGGTCCCTGCAAAACAGTATGCATATTCTGCAAAACGTTTATAATATGGGTGGTCTGTTCTCCTGGACCGTGAACGAGGACGATCGAAACAGTACTAGATACATAATCCAGGTATAAGCGGGTTACAATAGATTAGGCTAACAATGTGTGTGCGTGCGTGCGTGCGTGCGTGCGTGCGTGCGTGTGTGTGTGTGTGTGTGTGTGTGTGTGTGTGAAATATCGGAGCGTAGAATTCTCTCCTAAATTCTGTCGCGAATTATAGATCGCTTAAATGGATATTACATGAATATCAGACAACAATTGATTATTATCATTTTCTCCTTATGCAATACTTGCTTTAATTATAATAATAGTGATAATTACAATTTTTGTTCCTATATTATTATCGCTGTAGTACCGCCGTGTAATAAGAGTTTAGCGATGAATTGAGCTTGTAAAACTTATACATCTTAAAGAAAATATATCGTATCTTTTTCTTTTTCTCTGTATCTTTTTGACGAACAAGTATAACATTTTTTTACTAGTTAAATTTTTTTATATTCTAATATATATTCTAATATATATTCTAATAAAATAATAATTATGTTTTAATATTAATTAAAATTTAATAATTCAATATAATATGATGTTAATGAATAATAAAGTGATATTAATTTTTTATATAGTAAAATATAATCTATTATAAAAAATTAATTAATTCTTTTTTTATTTAAGAAAAATAAGACCATGGACACTTTTTTTGTGCTAATAAAGTCTAAGATTTTTTGATACCGTAATAATTAAAAATGCACCAGATATCCGGAAAATATCCAGTATCCGATATTATCCGGCCCTTTTTTACTATCCGACCGGATAATCAGATATCATTAGTATCTGGGAATATATCCCGTTGAAATTTTTGATATCATTAAATTGTTGATACTTTATTATACAAATGTTCTAGAAATAAGTATGCATATTCATAATGCTATACTGTCTCATACATTGTTGCAAAATTCCATTTTTTTCCTTTATAGGTGTTTTTTTTTTAAACATTTTCTCGGAATCCGATCGAATATCCGGAAAATGTCGGATATCCGATTTTACATTCTATTCGCATATCCGGTATCCGGTAATTTTACGATTCGGTGCAGCCCTAGTAGTAATGCCGGTTAACTTATATTAATATATTATGTAAATATATATTATAAAATATATATTATTTGTTGTTTTCAAGATTGATCAAGGAGGTTTAACACTACCAACTGCAGAATATTACATCAACATAACCGAATATGGCAAGGTCTTAACCGCCTACTTGGACTACATGACAAAGGTACAAGAGTAATAGTACTTACGCACGTTTATCGCGCAATGTGTTGTATTACCTTGAGGACGAGTCAAGTACAGGTATTCATTTTCAGATCGGCATGCTCTTAGGTGGCGAAGAGAATACCACAAGGAAACAGATGCAGGACGTAATCAGTTTCGAGACGAGGCTCGCAGAGATCACTATACCGTACGGCGAACGCAGAGATGAGGAGAAGATATATAATTTAATGTCATTAAGTGAATTACAACAAAAAGCACCTTTCGTACGTTTGACTTTTTTTTATCTTTATATCATACATTTCGATTATATAATATTGCAATTATTACGAATAATCTGATTTTTCGTTGTTGCGACATTTCCTTCGATAATCTGATACATTTATCTCGTATCATAATATCGTGATAGTATCTTGGATATAATATTATGTTTTATTCCAATATACGATATTCTGTTTATTCTTTATCATATCCTGCATATCTTCATAATAAACACGAAATATTTGGACGCTTTTCCAAATAGGGCGATTACTCTTTTTCGAGTAAAGGATGTCGATAAAATATAATGGATTTTTTTTATGTTTAGATGTCATGGGTAGAATTCTTCCAAAACGCTACGCGTCTCGTAAACAAGAAGATCAACAGTAAAGCGATGATCGTAAATTATGCACCAGAGTATTTCATAAAATTGTCGAAAATCGTGCAGGACTATAACAAAACAGCTAATGGAAAGATGTACGTATACCTGCTAGATGTGTAGCGCATTTGCCTCGAAGCGTTGATGTTGGAAACTAAATTAATTTATAATAATTTTTTCATTTAATTTAAATAATATTATTAATTTCATTTAATTTTAATAATTTGGTCACATTAGTCGCCAGTAAGCTTAAGTCTCTACACCGCGTCAAAAAAGTTATGATAATTTATATACACACATGTTGCAATGTCGCGTCGGACGTTTCGCTGACGCTGCATATAAATTGTCATAATTTTTTTACTATTACATTTAAAGATCTAAGACTTTCCAGAAAACTTCTTCAAATATTCAACTACAATTTAACATTAATGAAAATTTTTAATTCGAAAATTCGTAACACAACTTTAACGTTTGAAAAAAAATTCACTAAACTCGACAAAATATTATTAAAAATCTGCCATTTTGTTGTAAAGTGCTTCGAAAATTTCAGAATAGCTCTACAAGTCAGAATATGTCAAAGATTATAGTGTAAAAATAATTTGAATAATAAATTTTAATATCCGGCTGAGATTTCGCGAGTTGAAGTGCTGCCATTCTCACAACGTCACTTTTTGCGGTTGTATTAGCAGCAACATTTTTTTCCGTGTAATTTATCGAATTTTTTTTCTTTCCAGAGTACTGAATAACTATCTGGTGTGGCAGACCGTGAGATCCTTGACGGCGTTTCTTTCGAAACCATTCCGCGACGCTTATAAGGGTTTGCGGAAAATTTTGCTCGGTTTGGAAGGTCACGAGGAGCAATGGCGTTATTGCGTCGACGATGTTAATAACGCCATGGGTTTCGCCATTGGCGCGATGTTTGTTAGAGAAGTTTTTCACGGCAAGAGTAAACCCATGGTTAGTTCATATTAGTATCCCGATTTTAGAAAAATTAAATTTTAATTTAGTAATTTTTTTATTCTTTTTTTAAAAGAAGAAACAACTTTTCAAGATAAAATAGGAAATAATAATTCGTCGGAATTCGTCGAAATGAGTTTTAAAACGTCAAGATATGATTTATGAGATACGTTTTTTTTTATAGATTATATTTCGATTTATTTTGATCGTTATTTTTAGGCAGAGGAAATGATCAATCAAATTCGCAAGGCGTTCACGAAAAACTTTAAGAATCTAAACTGGATGGATGCAGAAACGAGAGATGCTGCCGAGGAGAAAGCAAATGCAATCACTGACATGATTGGTTTCCCAGACTTTATTCTGCAGCCCAGAGAACTCGACGACCGTTACAGAGATCTGACGATCAGGCAGTACGAATATTTTCAGAACACTTTGCGCGTGAACAAGTACAGTTTCCGTAAAAATCTTGAGAAACTTGATCAGGTGGTGAATAAGACCACTTGGATAATGTCACCGCCGGCCGTGAACGCTTATTACACACCTACCAAAAATCAAATGGTCTTCCCTGCTGGTATTCTTCAGAGCCCGTTATTTGACATGAAGAATCCCAGTAGTTTGAACTTTGGCGCTATAGGCGTAATTATGGGACACGAATTAACGCATGCCTTCGATGACCAAGGTATGATTTTAAATATAAAGTTGAACTATACAATCTTATAGCAGAGAATAAAATACATTATTAATATTTTATATTTATGTATTGTATAAAGAGATTTTCATGTTGTATAGTGAATGAAGAATTTATATGTATCTTAATAATTTTGAAATGATTTCCTGTATACTTGGTATATATAATATATTTATTCTAGCTCATCTATTTATTTAAAAATAATTTTACTTTATACTAGTTATGTATTTGCTTAATGTTGAGTAGGTCGAGAGTATGACTTGCATGGTAATCTGCATCAGTGGTGGAACAACACCACGATAGAACGATTTCAGAATAGACTTGGATGCTTCGTGGAACAATATAATCACTATAAAGTACAAGGTCGAAATATAAATGGCCAACAGACGCTGGGTAATTTTATTGATTACAAATAATTGCCTGTTGATGATGGAAGTATCAGAATTTAGACCGATCGATTGTAATATACAGGAGAGAATATCGCCGATAACGGGGGTCTTAAGGCAGCGTATCACGCTTATCTCTCGATGCCTAAGAGCTACAAAGATCAACTGCCGCTACCCGGTCTCAATTTGAATCATCGTCAACTATTTTTCTTGAATTTTGCACAGGTTATTATAAATAATAATAAATAATATTTATGATAGATACATTAAATCGATGGAAAAATTTTTATATTTAATTTAATAGATAATATTTTTAAGATGTGAGCTACATAATGATCGTTTTAATTACGAGAAATGTCTACAGATCTGGTGTTCCTCCATAACGTCCGAAACGGAGATTCTTCAGATCGAGAAGGATACTCACAGTCCACCGAGGTACAGGGTGATAGGATCACTCTCAAATCTGCCAGAATTCGCGAAGGAATTTAACTGCCCTAAGAACTCGACAATGAATCCGGTACATAAGTGTGAAGTGTGGTAATGCCTCTTATTTATCTCGACTGATTCATCGAGGACAGTTCGGTTGAACTTACTCTTCAATATCGCGGGGAGATCGAAGCTTCCACGTGACGTTGCGTAACGAGAGAACACGTATCGTGGAACTTGTTTCGTGCATTTGACCGTGCATATTTTAATTCTTTCACATATCACCACTTACTGTGAGGATAACTACTTAAATTTACAGATCTTTGGTCAGCGTATGATTTTGCCAAAACTTTCAAACATGCGATCTCGAAAATAGTCGAGATCGCAAGAAACGTTGACATCTTCTTTTAACTGTGGGAATTTATTGGCTGATTTTAAATTTAATTCTTCTTTCAGTTCCTCTCTTATCATTTGCTTTAATATTCTATTTAAAAATTAAAAATTGATTTCAAAGTTTGTGATTCTTCGAGTCTTTGTATTTTTTTTGTCTATAAATATTTAAATCTTGAATATTAGGTAATTCACACTGAATTCTCAATCAGCAAGTCAAGACTTATACGAGTTACTTAGATTGTGCGAAATATCGTATGCATTTTTAATGTCATAAGTTTCGCAGATAGAATTTATTTGCGTTTTATATGAAATTTATTTTATAAAAGCTATTTAATTTATTATTTACATGGAATTCGAACGTTAAGATCGTGGTAACGCGACATTCCTAATAGCACACTTTATTCGAGGGACATTCTAGCGAACATTCTTAGGACATAGGGATATCCTCTGAATGTTCTTTGGAACGTCCCCTGTGCTATTAGGGATGCGCAGTACGATACGCTATATTGCTGATGTTAAGAAAATATTTTTAAATGTTCTCTCTCTCTTAATTGTGCTAAACATGTATTTTTCTTTCGTGTCACCTAGCATATATTTAGCATTCGGATCGGAGGCTTGACTTTTCCGTCTGACGAAAAAAATGTTTTCAGAAAAAAATAATTCAGCTGAAAAAAAGAAGTATTGAAATAATTTTATTTCGCGAAGCTATGAATACTTAATCTACAAAATCAGTAATCATCTTTAGAATTTCCTTCGGCATCGAAGAGGTTGTAAAAAGAGATTTCATATGTGATTTTTGAGAACGTAGATTGAATATTTTATTTTGTATAAATTAAATTAATGGTTTGCAATTTAATTTTGAGTACATTTTTTATAAGATGTGATATTATCGGCAATACTTGCGTAAATAATGTGTTTATAAGACGTTACTTGATTTTATACAGGATCGTCAAAGTATAATTCTATACTTTCTCTTCGTGTCGAATTGTATTGTATTATATTATTAAAATATTGTGTAATTATACGCAGGAGTTTTTTATATTTTATTGATGAAGATTAAACAGCATATTTGTAAATAATGTGATTTCTAGATCGAGAAATTTATGCATCTATCACAAGAATGGCGTAGACCTTCGCTTGTTAGCATTAATTTTACCGTATAATTAATAGAAAATGAAAGTCTCAGCGTAATAACCAGCTGCGATGGAGTCGCAGATTTAAAATGTTAAAGTTTCGTTGTAAATCTTTTATTCTTGTTACAAATGTAAGGTTAAAAAGCAAAAGGCGAAAAATGCAAATTTTTATAGGGGATTGAAAAAGGCTTTGTTAAGCCGAATCGTTTTTTTGTTAAATATACACACATTTTATTAATTTGACATCTATTTTTGTCCGTTTGCTTTGATCTTTTTAACTTTATATTTGTATTTTAATACGAACCACTTTCGCTTTTATTTTCACCACATTTGTTCAGTCATATAAAAAAAAACTTCAATTCTGCTGTGAACAAAACGAATATTGCAGCTCGCGAATGAGTTTTGCATATTTCAAAAGAGATGCCAATCAAAATCTGATGTTTTTTCATTGAAGTGGAATTCCTGGTGCATTGTTTCATATGAAAACTAGAATATTATATAATAGGTAGCTAAATCTTTCATTGTATGTTGAATAAGATACACTTATTATTCATGCACATAACCAATTTATTTAAGGTCTTACGATCCCAATTATTGCGACATTTGTATAAGCCGCAACAGTGCAAAAAGAAACTATCAACAACAATAATTAAACATAATTACGCTTAACTTCGTTTTAAGTTGCGCCATTAGACATTGAGGAAATGCTTTATGCATTAATGATATGTTGTAACATTAATCCTAGAAGAGCCCACGAACCCCATACACAACCTCGTACAATCATTACGTATTGAAATCACAAATGTCATAGATACATTTTCTCTTTTTATTTCTTTTTTATTGTGCAATAAGGAGATAAGGAATTTAGTTTGTCGGACTCTTTACTTAAAACAGAGGAAATAATCAAATGGATTAATACATTTTTATGTTCGAAGGAGTACGGTATCTCGCAAGATAGAGATCTGCTGGATATACATATATAGGATAAAATTTATGATATTAGCGTTAAATTTGTCAGATTTGAGAAATTGACGATAATGCGGAAGCGGAGAAACTCTGAGAAATACTGCAGTGCGTTCGAATCTACAATTCCTTGCTGGAATTCTGCTGCTCTCGCTTCCTTATCCTCTTTTTCATAGGGTTATAGATGGCGAAATACCACGTAAAGAGAGAAGCCAAAGTTTCTTTATAATGTAAGATCCATATAGGCCTTGAATATGACGCCAATGCATAATGCATTTGTAAATGTTGTTTATAATTGTGAATAATATCTTGTAACAATAAGAGGATCGTTTCTGCTGATTACAAGATATTGTTGTGCGTTGTATTCGAAGATACAATTTGCGTGTGGTGTTACATAACGAAGAAAAAATATATCGGTCGATGACGATGTTCGCCATGATTATTTTTCTGTATTGTATATTATGTATTATGCTTATATACATATTATTATTATTATTAAATCAAAATTAAAGAAACGGAACAAATCTTTACGCTCACTGCTAGTATTATACTCTAATTACATTCTTTTCATTACTTTTTTTATGTAAATTAATGTGAGGTAACGTTTCAAAATGATATTTATTTGCGTTACAACATTCTCTTAATGAAAACTCTAAATATTTTTTTAATATAAATTTTCTTCCAAATTGAATTTATTAAGAAATATAACATTTTGTTCACACGTGCGTATATCATTTTTAAAACATTAAAGATGAGACATTGATCTCGTAATTTATTTCACTTATTGAAAACGTAGAGATAACGTTTCGACATTCTTGGATATTTTACATATTTATAGTCGCAGATGTTATATTTACCACTAATTAATTCGTACTGTGACGTTCTCAAGAAATTCTGGACTTTTCATATTTTCAGATAACAATAGCGAGTTGAATTTTCGACACCAATTGAGTGATGGTTTCATTTTATTATGCGTCTTCATTACATTCAAATTGTTACGTTCAAATTGTTGGATACGTGCCCAGTAATATCGAATTGCAATTTTTTTTTCTTGAATTTCTGCGCGTGTTGTAGTATGTATCAGATGTTTTCCAAAACACAGACCAATACCCTGATAATCACGATGATGAAGAAGAACACGATAATTAAACAAATGTGCATGTATTCGACAGGTTGAAAATTGTTCGGTTGAAGGTAATTGGAACGGCTATAAGTTGTGAGATAATTTTCTCAAGATAATTCAATATTTCAACCGAATGTATACTTATATACGTATACTAACAATAAGTTATACAAAAGTTATAAATATTTTTCTATTAGATTAGAAAAAAAAATGAGATAGAAAATATTTAATAAATTGGAGCATATATTTTACACGTATTCCATACATATTTTACATTCTTTTTCTCTAATTATAATACAAGCCATTACATAAATAATAAATAGTAAGTATTAATTAAATAATTTTAACATAAATCGATAATTTCTTAATTTAACTGAATAAATTGATAATTTTTTCCTTAAAATATTATCTCTATTTTTACATGTAAATAAAGATTTTATTTTTATATATTGAGTTGTAATCAAAGCACGTGTATCGCGGTTGAAGTCAGTAGAAAATGATACTTACTAACTGTCAATAAGTTTACGGTGTTGCGCCGCGCCGCCCTGGTGTACAGAAACACTAGTCTGACACTCCATTAATCGTCAGACAGTTGTACGATTTTACATTCGTGCTGAATTCTGCGATAAATCGGTAAAAATACGACCGATGTCTCTAAGTAGAGGAAACCTGAACGGCATAATTTCGAAGCGACATTCACACTGTCTCTTACTATCGGGGCAATCATAATTTAACAATCCTTTCCAATCAGCCTGAAGATTAAATTGCTATCCGGTAAATCATTCTGGTCGAACATTATTTTAATTAATTCTTTTTTTAATGAATTCTTTCATATGATGTCTCTTTTATTGTACTAATAGAATATTAAACTACGCGTGATGTTGCAGTTGATGGAGTGGTAATAAACCCAACTTGAAACTAAAGCAAGCGATTCGAATGAAAAGAATAAAAAAGAATAACTGTTCATGTACTGCGGCGTTCTCCAATTATCTTTAACTTCTTTCATGTTCTAATCCTTTCAATCTTTTTAGATTCTTTAAAGTTTATCTCAAGATTATCAATTCTAAACATCCTTTTGTGTTAAATATATTAAAATAGATTCGTGACATTATTCGAAAGATATTATTACTTTTGTTTTAGTTTCACTATGAGAAAGCGTATTTTCTTAAATTTTAAAAGAACATATTTCCTAACCGAAAATGCAAATGCAGCGGTATGTGTTGTATTTATATATTTTCTTTGTTTCTATTTTTACCACCGTAAAGTAGACATATGCGGTGCTGTCATTCCTAATACAAAGCGAATGTGTCCTTTTCTTCGTACGTCTTCCAAATTAGTCAGGGAAATGGAGTGTCCTTTATTTGCCAGGCAAGAAGTGAGTGCTGCTGAATACGCATGTCATCAACATTCCCATCACCAGAGAAGACAAAATTATTAATCGGAGAGACAAACTTCTCGGTATTTTCTAAAACCCTAAATATTTAATCAATCTTTTAAACTTTCTTTCACTCTGAGAATTCTCTCTTTATATACAATACAAAATAAAATTTGTATATAAAAAAATAAAACTCTAAGTAGTATAAAATCAATTTCGTAAAAAAATTTATTTTGTTTCTTTTATGTTATATATATACTTTTTAAAATATTATTTTTAACATTACCTTGTTGTTTCTTATCCATTTATTTTACACTTCATTAAAATAGATTGTATTGCCTTGAAATCCTAAAAGAAGATTGAGAGACAGCGAAGAAAGTTTGTTATCGAACTCTTCGTAGTCAACACACACGAATTTCTTTATACGATATAT